TTTTACTTTATTATATATATATATATATATATAGAGAGAGAGAGAGAGGCGATGTTGCCTCATTTTTTTTGTTGACGTCGCCTCGCATGGGGAGAAGAGATTTTTTTTTACTTTAATATATATATATATATATATGTATGTATATATATAGATATATATATACATATATATACATATATATATATATACATATATATACATATATATATACATATATATACATATATATATACATATATATACATATATATATACATATATATACATATATATATATATATATATATATACACACCAAGTAGTATACCGAAACATACCGCTTTGTCACGGACTAAACTGGTTTTGCCTAAGTCGTGCGGCACCTTTGCGTGTCCATCCGCAAAGGTCAACCTCCCCGAAGCCTCCCATGGTCCCTTAGGACCCACAAAAGAGAAAACGGGTTAGAGAAAACGCCTCACTCGGGATCCACAAGCAAACATTTCCGAAAACACTTCATAGACAATGCAAATTACAAACAGACTTTACAAGCTCTGAACGGTTGCACAACAAAGGGTCAAAATGGTCCATTATAGACCGAAAATCTCTCACAAGTGTCCACATGACACAACCTTTATTTACAAGCCTAAAGCGGCCACCAACCCAACTAAAATGGGACTATTAAGCCTTCGGTCGTCCCTCTACATGCTGTGCAAAGCATGAACATACCAAAAGGCACGGACATACATAAGCATTACATCAAACATCCTATTTAGAAGTTTGTTCGTGACATTCTCCCCCACTTATTCCTTAAACGTCCTCGTCGAAGCCTTTGCTGACACTGCAACTCCTTGCCTTTGCTGAGTCTTCAATCTTCTGCTCCAGCTGCAATGCGCCTCCTGGCTCCCAACTGCTCTCCGCTGCTGTTTTTGAGTAGTCGAACCTTTGATCCGCCATGCTGCTTCAACTCGCCAATGACTCTGACTCTAGTGTGGGGTTGGCTAAGTTGTGTTGATCCCTGTTGGTTCCTACGGATCCTCCAGATGAAGGAAAAGACCATCCTTACTATGCGCCAGTCTCTCAAATGCCTCATGCTGTATGAACTGGGTGGATGCTTATTGGAGCTTTAATGAGCATCGCCTCGCAAACTTCTGAAGTTTTGGGTCCTTCCTCCACAAAATTTGCCCATTGACTCTTCTTTCACTTAGTTGTCACTTCCAAGTAGATTCGCAGCACTTCCGCTTTCGAATGGCATTTCGTTGGGAAATGAAGCGGACAATCTACTCTCAGTAGCACTGATCACCGTTGGTGAGGATTTGACAACTATTGTCTTCTATTATCTTCGAAGGGTCTTTGAACTTGTGCAGAGCTCCTATGCTAGATAGATAAGAGAATTGGGATACTCGGTTTCGCCCATTCTCTTAAGAGTTGAAAAGGCAAAGGTTACTTGACTTCGCCCGCCTCCTCGAGGTTGTACTCCATGCATCGAGCTGGTTACTGGCCTTCGCCTGCTCTTTGCTCACACTTCTGAAGCACTTGAAGTGTTTGCACTCCTTGCGTTGAGTTAGCTACTGCGATTCACCTTCTCAATGCCATTAAACTTCTGGAATGCAGAAAGTTTTCAACCCAAATTGGAGTAAGTCTCTAATAGTTTTGGTCGCCTCTGGGATTGTATCATCTTCTCCATCAACCCGGCCGCCTACTCCACTGAGTAGCAAAGGTACAGCACCGCGTACTGCCTGCTTCGTTCCTTGGTCGTGCACTTTTGCATGACCCGAAGTCCTTCACTTTCGACTATCTTAATGAGAAGCTCGTTGACACCGGTCTTACGAAATTCCTTGGCCTCTGCCCTTCAGCCTTGTCTCGGTACTTGGAGTTTACCTCTGCATGCTCCACCTCCTCGGCCACTTTCACGACCAAGCGCTCTCCCTCCATGAGAGCAAGGGATCAATGACTTTCACGGAAGTCCCGCCTCTGCGGTACCATGGCACTGCCATGCCCATGGCCCTACTATCTGTCGCCTCACATTTGTATCCCTTGTCTTCACGATCAGTAGATATGTCTCTGTGGCGCTCCTTCGAGTCCACCTTCATTCTAACTGATGCTTGATTTTGGGTAGCTAAGTCCCTTTGGACTCATCGTCGCTTCCTCGCCCCTTTCGACCCCCTACTTCAACACGTTTGTGTTCTCCAAGCAGCTCCCTTTAATCGATGGAAAGACAGACTACAACTTTCATGCATGGCCTCTGCCATCACGTTGTAGGGTTTACACTAATTCTGTTCTCCTTAGCTTCCTTGGTAGTAACATTCGCTTACTCGACCTTGTCCTCTGACTTGTCGGGCTCCCTTAAGCGAATATGGGCTCTGAAGCAGTCCAACTCTTCAGCTGCTTCGATCATACCTTTGTATGATCAAGTCCCTCCCATGGGACTCACCGGTACTTGCATTCAAACTTTTTCCTTGATGAAACACTGTCCCCATATGCCGATGACAAAGGTTTTCATCCAATGCAAAATTCGATGCACGCACGGAAGACCCGCCTCTACGGTACCATGGCCTTCACTCCTTAAATCCATAGCCCTTCTTGTCGTCGTGTTATTCACCGAAGTGGAGCTTCCAGTAGCTCCCGATTATACCTCTGTATGATCTAGTCCCTCACGGGACAATGTCGTGTGTATCGCATTGCCACGAACTGTTCCACCACGATCCGCTGCACCATGTCGCCTCCTGGTGACATCTTTATTGCATTATGATCCTTGTAGGATGAACTCGAATTGTGATCCCTCCATGTGTGGCCTCTGCCAATACATCACAGGGTCTCTTCCACCTTCAATTTTGTTCGCTCCTTTGGCAATCGACCTTCATCCACCCATTCTTGGGTCACACCTAGATGAAGCACCGCTCTAGGACAGTCTATCGCCTAGCAGCTCCCGAAGTCCACCGACTTCGTTGAAAATGATGCACCATTGTTTGGATCCTAGGCCTCTGCCCCTACCAGCACAATCTCCGCTGCGCACCGCTTCCTGCCTAACAACTTGACTGGCAACACTGTGGCATATTCTTCAAGAGTACCCGCCTCCACGTCCTCTTGCCCCGTGCCAAGGCCTTCTGAACCCAATTTCGCCTCCGTAAGTTGAGTTAGCTTAGTTCCTCCATCAAATGCTTCTCCGAGATAAGGTGCATGTGCCCAAAAGCTCCCTTCATCTTTGGCACCATGCAAGATGAGCACTCCATCAGAATGAGGGACCCATGGAACAACATGATCCTGCTCTTGCCTTTGCAAGAGTTCATGTCCTCGGCCTCTGTCCAAGAAAAGCATTGTGCCTCCGCTCCATGTTCCATCTTCTATGCTGGCTCCTTTCATGCGGCTTGGGTACTTCACCAAGTTACACCCAAGTTGCTCCGCTCCTCGTTTTTGCATTGAGTTAATGGTGGCCCTCGTGCCTACCATTCCACGGGTCAACCCTCCCTTGAGTCCGATCTCCATATCGACTTCAAGTGTGCTTTCATTTGTGTTGCTTTGGGTCGCTCCCTCACTTGATCTCGCAATGCATCCACCAATGCATTCTCTCAAGCGAGATCATGCGACGACTCCTCGCCGCTTGCTCGGTCCATTGAGCTTCGTGGAGTTGTTATTTGTTGAGGTACTCCTCCTCAACATGTGCAGTCTGTCCTACATGATTCTCCCTCTAGAGAGCCGTGACTTATCCTTCCTGGATAACTATCCTGTTGGAGCAACATCTCTCTTCGTTTCGGAGACCACCATCCCCTTGGACTACTCCGATTTGCTGAACAAACTGTGCATTGTTCTGCCTCCTGCAAACGCACTTGCTAGATTGCGACTTCACGTCAATATAACCCCCACTGCACCACTCAAGGCCTAGCAAAATGCTGAACTCGTTACACACTTCAGCCTCCTACGGACGTATCCTTCACATGCCGAAGAGAAAGTTTCAATGCTTCATGGCGCCGAGTTTCGATCGCCTTGGGATGGCCACGAACATTCCATCGTCCGCATACAAGCCCATGCATGAGTACCGAATTCTTCGAGTTAGCAATTCCCCTCACCTCTGTGAGCTTTGCATAACTCTTTTGGTTGCTAAGCAACTCATTCCACCTTGCATGGTCTCATCCTTTACCAAGCGCCTCGCTTGCCTTGAGCACCATCAAGTATAGTTGTCAACGTTGAGCCGTAGCTCAAACTCAACTATCCCAACCTTTATGTGCTCCGCATTCTTCCAAGCTTGCCTGTTCTCGTGGTGTCTCTTGCGCAAAGGGTTAGCCATTCCTCTGAATGCCAATCTCAGATGCCTGCTTCTCCGAGCGACTCCTTTTCCCTACATTTCCATGCCCGTTTTCCCCTAAACGGTCGCGCGTGTGCTGACTGCCCTCAACGCAGCCACGCTAGGTCCCCCACGTTTGCATGCTAAGTGTTTCTATGAGTGCTTGTCTCACTCTGATACCATCTGTCATGGACTTAGCTGGTTTTGCCTAAGTCGTGCGACACCCTTGCGTGTCCGTCCGCAAAGGTCAACCTCCCCAAAGCCTCCCATGGTCTCTTAGGACCCACAAAAGATAAAACGGGTTAGAGAAAATGCCTCACTCGGGACCACAAGCAAACATTTCCGAAAACATTTCATAGACAATGCAAATTACAAACAGACTTTACAAGCTCTGAACAGTTGCACAACAAGGGTCAAAATGATCCATTACAGACCGAAAATCTCTCACAAGTGTCCACATGACACAACCTTTATTTACAAGCCTAAAGCGGCCACCAACCCAACTAAAATGGGACTATTAAGCCTTCGGTCGTCCCTCTACATGCTGTGCAAAGCATGAACATACCAAAAGACACGGATATACATAAGCATTACATCAAACATCCTATTTAGAAGTTTGTCCGTGACAGCTTGGTATACAGTACCGTATCATACCGAGTGTATCTTGAAACTCCAGTATGGTACGATATTTCAATTCTTGCATATAACAATTATTCATTAACTAACAGTTGGCATTCTTATCAATAAGTTTTACCTTCTGTGAATTTCTGACACTGTGGCTTCTGTCACTTGTTTAATTTCTTTTAATTTCAATAGCCTTTCTTGCAGTTCAGGTTTTTGAGCATGCATCGACTGCTCAAGCAATAGTGGTCTCACTTCTGCTGTTCCTTTTAGTGCATTCCTGCAATCAAATAGATAAAGCAGTGTGAAAGTTGTAGAGGAAAGTTGCAGTTGATTTGAGCCTCCATAACTTTCATCCTCTGGTACATTCATTGTCCAAAAGTACAGTAGCTTTAATAATGCTTTCAAGCAATCAGCATTTACTTGCCATGTTTAGCTAGATTGTGGTAAGATATACAATCAAGAATTAGCTACCATTATCTCATATGAATGAGCTGCAGACAGAGGAGAATTGGAGCTTGATTATTGTAAAGAAACATGATATGTACTGCAGGGAAGATTGTGTCTCAGAAAAGGCATATAAGAGTAAACAAAACATAAAGAAGCACAGAACTTGCAAGTCAATATGATGATCGAGAATGGATAACATGTTTAGCAGTTGCATCTAAAGAATGACATTGAAATCATTAAAGATCTTTACCAACATGGACATCCATCAATGTGGTGTGACATGATGTATCAATAAAACCTTACTAATATTTCAAAGAATAATGAACACAATGTAGTGCAAATGCCAAGTTCCTATGAAATGCATTGTTCAAGAAAAGAGGAGCTTGCAAGGTTTATAGTCTCTCTTTTTTTTCAGCTTTCATGATTCCACACGTGCAGCATAGTTTTTTTTGACAGCAAATCAAGTTCCTTTTTGTCTTTTTAATACCAGTGCAATGCGAGTTCCACTACCTGTTATGCTTTGGAGTCCAAAAAAGCTTGCACAACATTGAAGAAAACTTAACAGCAATAAATAATTCATTAATAAACCCAGAAAGCCATGCCATTCAATATTAATACCAAAAGTGCTACATTCCATGATTGAAAGCATAAAATTATGACAAATATTATTAGTAATCATTATGAATAGAATCAGAAATTCTTACAATACTGTGACTTCTAGTAGCAATATGCCAAAGTTCCAAGCATCAACTTATATTGAGATTTTGTTGTGATTGAAGATATACCACAATATCCTACCATTGCATTTCCAGTTTCACAAGATTGCCCCTTCTTGCTTCTGCTTGCTCATTGAGCTCTTTCAAACAGAGCTCAATAGAATGTTGATCATCAAATGCCATTTTCACAGCTGCTTTTAGGAGCTCATACTCAGCTTCTAGACCCTGAATTTCGAAGACTTTAGACTGTGTTTTCTCCTTCAATGACTTCTCTTGATCTTTCAAACACTCAGTCTCATTTCTTAGCTGAAGCAGATATTTGAGGCAAGTAACATCACATAAAGATAATAATCATATTCAAAAATAGACCTATATGAAAAAGGGTACCATCTATGTAAAACTCCAAAGAAAACCTTTTAGTAATAGCACATGGGTTAAAGGAAGACAAATTTATAGAAAGATAAAAATAACTCCAAAGTGAGAGGTCTGACATGTGCATTGCACTGAGTCCACAACATACACAACGGCAACATATCTGCATAATCTAGTACAGTTAATTCGAAGTCAAGCATTTGAAATGATTAATAATATCCATTTTCCTCTGAAAAAATGTTTGACCGCAGACAATTTCAGCGACACAAATTAAATGTTAGAAATTGTTTATTTAAACAAGAAGCAGATCATCTATAGCTTTGTGTTCATAGAGATATGTACTTAATGTCTAAGGTTCACTGTATACCCCACGCTCATATAAAAAGTTTTTGATGAAAGGTATGTCTGCAGAATTTCCTCAAAAAAATATATGTTTGTACAAATACATGCTTTTATCAAAAGGAATAAACAACAAGAAGCCTAGAAAGCATACAAAATAGACTCTAGTAAGAAAGATTGTGATTTCACAACTTACCTTCAATTTTTCCAACCGGAGAGAAGCCAGTGTCTGTTCAAGTTCAACAATACATTCACTATCTTCCTGCACAGTATCCTCTTTATTGGCACATACCTCTGTGGAATTCCTTGGTTGTTCTGAAACATATCCAACATTTCCCTCCTTGCAATGAATCTCTATATCACATTTCCGATGCCCGTATAACGATCCTGCATCATCTGACTCTTCCAGTGGCCCTGGAACTGCACTAGCACCAAGCAACCCATGTGTGTTTACTTCCGTAACATCTATATCAGATATCTCCCGTAATTCTTTGTCTGATCTTCCGGAAGTACATGGAAAATCATGTATATCTTGACTCTCATACATTTTATTAGGCCACTCTGTAAGCAATTTTGATGTATCATTAGAACTATCACCACTAGCTAAGGTGCTGTCAGAAGCATGACTGGTTGTTGTATCATCTGATGCACCTGTATTCAAAATTGATTCAGATAGCCTCTCCACTAAAAACCTCAGCAACTTGTACGATTCCTCATTTGTTGGATATAGAAACTGGCAAAACCAATAGATTATTCTGCTTCTGAGAATATTTGTTAAACAATGATAAAATCATCAACAGAATCAGAAGAAGAAGAAGACACCAAATATTAACACAAGGAAAGAGGATAATCTGAATTTAACTTTTGAAGCTTGGATATACAACCAAACAAGTTCTTCAGGAACATCAAGGATCAAACTAGTTTTAGAGCTCAAATGGTAATGATTAAGCATGAAGTTCAAAACCATAAAACAGGAACCCAATCATTAGTCTGGAAGACTGAAAGTTTTTCTCATTTTGTTTCCCTTACCTGATCTCATTTTCACACCATTTATGGTTATAGTTACAAGGAAAAAAGAGCAGATATTAACATCGACAATTAGGGACTTAAGTGAATTTATACGATTAGGGTTGATAAAAGATTCCACTTGATCCTATTCTAAATTATTGTTTGCAGTAACAGAAAATTCAGGGAAAGTTATTGTTTGCAGTAACAGAACAAACTCCTAATTCTAAATTCTTCCTCTCCTTATTCATAGTAGACTCTTTGATATGGATTCTTCGAATATAAAATAAAGGTCTTCTCACCCGAATCATCATTGTCGACAAGCGAACAGATTGGTCGCTTACGAACAAAAGAAAAAGGGGGAGCAACTACCTGGTGGAAGCTGAGATCGTCTTTATATCCGATCGACTTGATGACCGCGGCAACATCCGCGCAAACCTTGAACCGCTCCGCGGCGGCATCCGGGATCGAGGTCGGGAGGGACGCCGAGGCGGCGCCACGGATTAGGCGAAGAGATTGAGCGCAGACGGAGACGAGGGCGTCGGGGGAGAGACCTTTGATCGAAGAGGAGGAGGCGGAGAGGCCCGAAGGAAGCGAAACGCCGGAACTGCGCAGCGAACTCAGAAGGATCTCCTCCGCCTCGTCCATGGCGGCGTCTTCTCCCCGATAACAACCCCCCTACCCTTGAGACTGTTAGCTATGTTATAAGTTATTTGCTTAGCCTCTCCGTGGGAATCTCTATAGAGAAGGCCTATGACTTCATTCTTTTGAACTGCGAATTCTCAAAAAGATTTGAAATTTTTAGGAAAACTTTGAATATGACACTTATGGATAAATGTCACTCGTTTTTTATTTTTAAATTTTTTTTGATATTTTTATAAATTTTTAAGCGTCTAAACAATATGTTATTTTTCTATTTTTGTTCTTATTTTTTATATTTCTAAAAAAATTATAAAGTATCCATACAATATTTTTTCACATTTGAGCTTCTAAATAAGTCAACAATATATGTAGAAATTTTGGTGGAGCAAAACTTTTTCCTAATAGATGATGTATATTATTAAGAAAAAAATATAAAAATATTCTAAAAATAATCTCAAATTTTGAGGAAAGCTATAAATATGACACTTATTAAAATATGTCATTGTTTTTTGTATTTTTATGAATTTTTTAGCATCTAAAATGTGTGTTTTTTTATTTTTTATTTCTAACAAATTATAATGCATCCATATAATATTTTTTTCACATTTAAGTTTCTAAATAGGTCCTCAATATATACAGAAAATTTGATCTAGAAAAAAAAAATTCTAATAGGTGATGTGGGGGACTCTCTGGTGATCGCCGGACGGTTGCGTTGCCTGAGGCAAAGACATGGTGGAGGAGGAAGACCGGAGACTGCAGCTGAGCTACGAAGAAGAATTAATGCATGCTTCCGTCCTTGTTCAGATCTGACACGAGACTTGTAGTCGTTGGCATTGCCACAACCACAACCAGCAGTGTTTTTTTGCTTGTCCTGTTCAATTCGAACGATATTTTATTCGATGTTTCCTTACCTTCTACTATCCGTTTGCTTTCTTCATGTCTATGCCTTGCAAGCCGATATGAATTGGGTCTCGCATGGATCAGAGCCTACAATATAGGTTCTCAGTGTGTACAGTGGGACGCACCTTCCCGTTGAATTTTATTCTCCATCTTCACTGCTTCTTTGATTGAAATAGCGTGTAATAGTAATTACATATTAATAGGAACATCTCCTCTATGGTAATGCACTACCAGGATGATATACCATACTATAACATTGCTTGATAAAGTAAATTACTATGTTGTTTTTTATATATGGAATAATCATTTAGCGTAATTCAAACTTAAAGCTGTCCAAATCTTAAAACAGAAGACAGAAGCATCCAACTCTAAGGTCCCTAAAGATCAACAAATAAATGAACATAAGCTTAATCTAGACAAACTGAGATATAGCGAAAGCAGATCCAAGAGCTGCCACGAACACGGTGTTCTTGAAGGAAGTAGCAAAACCCACGGCTGCGCTGGAGATGGAGCTGCCACTGTGGCCTGGCTGAGGAGATGGAGCATCTCCTGAGATGACCACTTCCCAGTGCACCATCACGCGAATGATCAACCTCTCCCCTGCCTTGCAGTTGCCTGGTTCGCCACTGATGAAGTAGAAGTAGCCGTGGCGGTCGAACGTGAACGTCGTGTTGCCGCCTACGAACTTGAGGAGTGGCGCCTTCGTGTCGCATTCTTTGTACGCGTTCTTGTCCACCACTAGCACCGAGTCGTTCTCATACTTGAAATCTGACAGCTCATCAAGAAATGAACTATCGAATGTTATTCGTGCCAGCAAAACGATCTTAATACTATATAATGAGAGAGAAAGCTTACACAAGGAATCTCCAATATGGAAGCGGTTCTTCGTCGCCCAGTGGTTGTAGTTCTCCAACTCATCTCCCGTGGGTTTCGTCCAACCTTTCGGTCCTCCAACACGGAACTCGTAAGCCGATAAGGTGGAGGAGAGAAGAAGCGAAACCGAAAGGAAGAAGAAGAAGAGGTGAGAAGCAGCAGCCATTGATGAGACTGGAAGGTCACAAAATCTCGACCTGCTCGTGTTGGACTCGTGGACGCTCTTCAGGTGAAAGTGCTGTAGCAACAAAGAAGACCTTTAAAAGGAGGCAAGTATAGAGAGAGAAAGTAATGGGTAGTTAATGTTCGTTGGATTGGATCGAGCATGCAGTCTCGAGGGGGAGTGGGGTGTATGACGTGATTGATTCAAACAGGTGAGTACATGTACGTGTTAAGATTCGATGTTTGAGTGAGAGAGAGAGAGAGAGAGAGAGAGCGAGAGAGAATGCCGGAGTTTTGTTTGTGACTACGTGTCGTTGAACGAGTCTAATCATGGCCGAACACGTCGCGTGTGGAGGACGCGGTGGCATTGACCAAGTCTAACAATCATGAACGGGACCCATCTATACTAAAAGTTCTTTTACTGGTTATTAAGGCAGGTGCTTTAGGTAAGTAGTGGCTTAAGCTGCCATATGTACGTAAATTAGTATTATCACATAACAGTACATGTTATATCTTAAGCAGATAAGCCCCGTGCTAGGTGTGGATCACAAGTCTAAATTCTTTGTCCTGGTCAAGTCCACACGTCGCGTGACAAACCTATTCAGGATGGTGCACCTCAAGTGATATAACATTAACAAATAACAAATAGTTACTAATCCATATGTGAAAAATTATGTCAAATAGGTAACTACTTGGTTCTGTGAGGCCAAGTTGGTCGTCTGATCTACATGCAGTGTAAAGTGCAACTTATACGAGGATATATAATGTTGGACTCGTCAATTATTATTGTGCGCGAAGCCAAATAGTATTACTCATGCACTCTTATGTATAGTTAAAAGACATGCAAATGGAACGTATGTTCAAGTGCAATGAGAGTACTAAGTCTTGCTCATGTGCCTAAACCTGCAGGCCTAAGCTTGTCTTGGCTTGCATTTGAACTTAAGCCTGTGCATAAATGTTGGGTCACGTGACACCTGACTGTAGTGGTATTATCATTATTAAGTATAGGACAAACAGCTCTAATGCACAAAGCAACATGCGGTGGCATGAACTCAACTAATTTCAAGGTGCTTAGGTCGTTAATGCTGCTACTGTGACTTACGGCAACATGGTGGTTGTAGTTATAAGGGAAGCCAGGAGATTACCTAGTCATTTATAACCCTTAAACACGTTCTATACTTAGTCATGCATTATAATCTTATATATGATAGTTTCTCTCCAGCAAGATTCAATCATGAAAGAGGTTTACTAATGCATACTCTAATTATTGGATCACATAGAAAAGTGGGACCAAGCTTTAGGTCCCGAACCATGTAAATACTATTTCTATGGGAATCATAGGTTGCAGAGAAAGAGGGTTGGCATGGCAGCAGCCTAATAAACTTGCACATCAAGCCGGGTGAGGGACGCCCGACGTGTAGCAGGTTGCATGCTAGCAGCAACCATGCGTTCTAACAGTCCACGTACGCGGTCATGTTTGCAAGGGATTATGTGTTCTGGTGCGTTCTGGATTGTGTCATGCACTGTTACTGTGCTTATAAAGGATGGGTACGGTGTTACATAATTCCATACAAAGAGATCAATTGTCTAATCTAAGGTGATGCTATGCAGTAAACACAATCTGCAGTGTGCAACAACACCCTTGGAACCAATCGTGCTGCCGCCTGCAGGGTATGCACCGAATTGCATTGTGTGGCTGTACGATGTAACTATGGTTTGTAGCTGCAATCATAGTGTGGACGTTACTATGGTGACCGAAACCATAGTATCACTGTAAGACATAAGTTATAGCAACTACGGCTCGTGGCAGCCGACAGTTGCTGCAGCCCGAGAGCCCGCCAACCCGTGGTGGTCATAGGGTTGGCTGCAGCAATCTCACAAGATCTAATACGTAGCCCTGGAGTGGGCTGGTTTCTTATGATCTACGGCATGTCGGTGAGTACGTCAATATTAGTCCTTGATGAGTTGATCCACAACAGGAACCTCAACCATCTTTAATTCTCTTTTTATATCATAAGAAAGGATCACATACATCTCGATCCAATTACAAGTTTATGGATCATGAAAGATGAATAAATCAATTGAACAGTCAATTTAATTGATGTAAAGATAAGTTATTAATCAAAGAAATATAAGTGTAAACAAACGAAGATCCCTATCAACAAAGGTGATATCCATGCCCTTTTTTCTCTCTCCCTCGTCAGCATCATCTCCATCGTCGACCTCACTCCCTTGACAACTTGGGAGAAAAAGGATCATGATATATTTATATGATGGGTATCTATCTCTCCAAAGATCCCTAACCCAAATCTATTAGGAGCCCTAATTTAATTAACATGGCTTGATTTGCAATCCTAATCTAATTAGGATTTCTATTAAATCTCGACATTCACTTTTAATCAAAATATATATTCTTAACATAATTAGGAGGAGTATCTATTTATCAAAATATCTTTTATTAATTTTAACATAGATTTAGTTATAAAATTATCAAAATAACGTAAAAATTTGGGTATAACATTTAAATGTTACGATCCAATGGGATAATTGATTTATTAACTATGTTTGATCCAAACCACTAATTAAAATACTTAGATTGAAATCAATAGTAGTATACTTATCAAACACTTATAAGTCTACTTAGTGGAGGTATTAGAGTTATTCTTCTAAAATAGATAAGAAAATGTTACCTAAGACAAATAAGTAAGAATGTGAAATAAATCATTAACTAGGTTTTCAAAGAGGCACTATCCTTTTCTCCAAAATTTGTATCACTTAGTTCAACGTCGAATTCCACCATAATTTAATCAACTCCTCTCTCTTTAGTAAGCATCTAACCCCTTCTTAATAGTGGTAGTCAGTTCATTGTAAAGACTTCTTCTTCCTTTAATAAATCTATCCTTGAAGGAGACAAGATCCGGTACGAGAAAACCAAGACCCTTCTCATTTATTTGCTAAAAAGAAGTATACATTTACATTCAATTTTGTTCATGCATCATCCAGGCAAATCCACTTTACCACCACAAAAGACTTGTTTCCCCTAATCCCCTTAGATTGAAATAATGATAAGTTAGAAAAGGACAAGACCCTATAGAAGATCATCATTTATGTTATCTTATTACCTTTAAAAATATCATTATTTGGGACC